AAATGGAATAAAATGAATGATTAACTTGATTCTTACCAAATCTGATAATGAGTCTTGTCTTACGTTTACAGCAAACTGGCAGCTAACATTTACATACATTACTTTTACGTTCTAACATTATTATATATTTATATATGTTATTTAATTATAATTACATTATAAGTCAATTAATTAATTATATAATATAAAAATTATGATAGTGAATAAAGTAAGAAAAATTTCTGTAGTTTAGAAATTATTGATATTATGTAGAATAAATTATAGAATGAATATCTTCAATTTTAGAGATCATTTATGGATAATAATTACATGGGGTAAAAAAAATAAAAATGGAATGAAATGAATGATTAACTTGATTCTTACCAAATCTGATAATGAGTCTTGTCTTACGTTTACAGCAAACTGACAGCTAACATTTACATGCATTACTTTTGCGTTCTAACAATATTATTATATATTTATATATGTTATTTAATTATAATTATATTATAATTTAATTAATTAATTATATAATATAAAAATTATGATAGTGAATAAAGTAAGAAAAATTTTGGTACTTTAGAAATTATTGATTAAATTATAGAATAAATTATCTTTAATTTTCATAATTAAACAAAACACATGCATGTTTAAATTTATATATAATATATAAATTATATCTAAATCTTCAAACATTTCTAATTTTAGTTAATTCTATCTCTATCTAATCTACCCATTGCCAATATCTATCTAATCACACGTAACAAAATTAGATCAAAGATTAGAGACAATAAATCATGTAAAAGTGTTACCAGTCAACCTGATAATTTTATAACCATTATCTTTTTCCACTTATTATTATTATGAATTAATAATAATTCGATATCGCAATAAGATTACTAACGGACGTGACGAAGATCAAGAAAACACGAGATGAATTTGACAAGTGGGCAAGGAACGGCTAGTTTCCTGTGAGGTGAAATAGTAATAAAGATAACTTATGGGGTTACATGGGTTTGGGGCTTTCAAAAAAATCAATTTTTCTTCTTTTTCTTTTTAAATTCTACAACTTATTTAGAATATTGTATTTAATTTTGAAGTCGATTGGAATAATAGTTTAAAAGATAGAGCCTTCGGAACTTCCCCTCTTAAATGGTTCTTTTATCAACACTCAAAACTTTAAACGCGTTTTTCTCAAAACGCTTTTTCTAAAGTCGGTTGACAAGATTTCTCGATAACTATTGAACCGATCGTGATGAAATTTGCTACACGTCTCCGAGACACTATTGAAAAGGGACTTGGATGAAGGATTTTTTTTTTGTTCATCAAATCAAATTTTAAGAAATCAAAATGTGCTGCCAATTGTAGCGAAATTTGAATTTTCTTGCTAAAAGCGTTGCCAAAAATCCAAATTTCAATTTTTTTTTGTTTCCTTCGTCCAATTTCTAGTTTTAGGTATTCACTAAAAGATCCAATTTTTTCCATTGAAAAACCCCCACCGTTTATGAGTTCTGCTGTCAACGCGAAAACACTTTTTTTCGGTAGGGTCACCGAAAATGACGTCGCAATGGCTGAGTTTATAATATTTTTCAATCAAAATTTCAAAAAATCTTCTTCAAATATGTATCTTAAATGTTATAAAAAGTTTGAATAAGAATTCCATTTTTTATATAGAAAAAAAAAATTGTTGAAAATATGTTATTTTTTTCCCGGTGTAAACCTATGTAACCCCTTAAGAGTCACGCTTTAATTCTCTCAGTTAATTATCCCTCGGCAAAGCGGTTAATTAACAGCAATTTTAGCTGGTGAAAGGGAAAACGTGGAATCTCGCGTAGGTGACGTGAACGACGACCCGATCCCGAAACCATTTGACCAGAAACTGAGAGAAAGGGACAGAAGAGAACACAGGAAAGAGACAGAGTTATATACAAAGGTGTATAATCATTAGAGTAACCGTGTTTGTATGCAAGAGAAATAGAAATAGAAATAGAAATAGAAATAGAAAGGGAAAGGGAAAGAGCAAGAGAGATAAAGGTCGAGACCGAATTTCTGGCTGTTCTCGGGTTCAGACAGTAAACCATAGACTATAGAGAACCCACTACGAGCTAGTTGCTGAGAGAGCCGACGGTTCCATTAATATCCCTCAGGATAGGTACTACGAAAGCTAGAGAAGGGGGTGGAGTGGAGTGGAGTGAAGGGTAAGTTGGGATGGTGGGAGGGGATCGGTCTTGGTTGAAGGAGGAAGTGCAATGCACAAGCAGTGCATCATCTGCCGGAGACAAGAGCTCCGAATATTGCACGATAATATTGCGCATATCGGACCCCCATATAGAAAAGGAAAGACAGAGAGAGATAGACAGATAGACGTATAACTAGATAGAAAGAGATAGAAGAGATTTCTGCTGAGTGCGAGCAAGTCAATCGTGAATTTATCGTTCGTAGACTTCGCTGACACCGAGTTGCCACGAAGAAGAACAAGAAGAAGAAAAAGAAGAAGAAGAAGAAGATGAAGAACAAAAGTGACTTTGATCGAAATGATCGAGTCTCCTTCACCCTCCAGCCCTTCCTATGAAGATGAAACTCTCGTATATGTATAGAACATTGTCAACTTGAAAGTATATATACAAACCTGATCCAAGGAGCTTTGAGAGAGCGTGTAGTCCGTAGATTTGAGCTCTTCCGCAAGTATCCTTACTTTAGCGAAGATCGTGCTCACTGGTATATCTTCGTTCTTCGGCACCAACAAACGAGCTGCTGTTGCTTGTCTCGAGGACACTATGGCTTGTGGAAGATGATTTGCAATGGCTATTCTGAGATCGCTACCTGACGTTGGTTTGCCGAATCTCAAGAATGCAACGTAGCCTTCGCCGAATCTGGATAACGAAAGAAACCAAAAATATCAAATAATAACAATAATAATAATAATAATCCTCCTAGCGCGAGTAAACTTGTTTTGGATGCTGTACGGATTATATTTAATAATCTATGGAAATTTGTATCGTAAATTTGTTCTATTTTTGTTGTTGTTTTCTTTGTTTTTTAGAAAGGGGTAAGAAAGAAAAGGGGTTGCGTGTGCGGAAGGTTGAAATGAAAGAGGAAAATATTCTGCAAGACGCCTCAGGCGTTCCTGACTACAACGGTTAAATATTTATGGTGCAGTACGTTATTCCAAAAGATCTAGCAGGCTCGATGTGCATGCATTACAATGGACCCAGCTCGGGCATAGATCACTGCTCCGTACGTAATGTATCTCAATTAGAGCAAATAGCTGTTAAAGTGCCTCTCATCCTCCTTCAAAGTGTATGTGTGTCAGAGAGATAGAAATAGTGATAGAGATAGAGAGAGAGAATGAGATAGAGAGAAGCACGCACGTCTACTATACTAGTTAAGCAGCGTACACAGCTTCTAAAGAGGCCTAAATGCGTTTGGAATGCAAACGTAAATTTCATTTTGGTGTCGACGGACCAATCCCCAATTCTCTCTCTCTCTCTCTCTTTCTATCTATTTATCTTTCACAATAAATATATTGTATGAATTGAACACGTTGTCATTCTGCAGTTCATAATTTTCCTCTTGCAGTATTGATTAAACATCAAACATACATTTTTACTTATTAGAATTGAATTGTAAGTTAAATAAATGCATCGAAATTAAGTTATCAATGATGATCACACGTTTGAACTGTGATTAATAAAGAAACGAACGATTAGAGACGATTACGTTATTGTGCATAGAAAGTTCGTTTTAAATAACAGAAGAAGTATAATAGGAAAGAAAAAAAGTCGATAGAAAACAAATAGGTCTTTTTACTTGTGTTTTAAATGTTGCGACGTTCCTATGCACCTGAGACCAGCTTTGGCAAGAATTCCCACTCTGTTACATAAACTTTCGCAATCAGCAACGCTGTGAGACGTTAATATCACGCTGCTGTGATTTTTAATGACATGTTTAATCACACATCCAACCAAATCCTTTGTCGCTGGATCCATCCCACTAAACAAAAACCAAAAATTCGACATTCTTCAATTTACCATATACGTATTATTGTAAAATTAAATATAAATGAATGCAAATTTGAAGCTACCTCGTTGGCTCGTCCATGAGAATCACGGAAACTGGTGCTATTACTGCTATAGCTGTACATAATTTTCTTTTATTTCCACCACTCAGACTGCTCACCCTTTGATGGGCGTATTTTAAAAGATCGAGTCTCTGCAACGTACTTTCTACCGCCTAATCATAAAAATATAATCATATTTATATAATCACAATATAACCTATTCACTGTTAAAACAATTATTAAACACACCTTACCCTATGTGTCAAGAATTTATTTGAAAGAAAATAATATGTTTTTAACATTTAATATCAATCAATTGCAACTACAAATTTTGGAAAAAATACATGCATGCAGTTCACATGAAGTATTAGAAGTGAAACCTTTAGAAAACTAAACTTCGAGAAGAATGAGACGAATGTTTAAATTTTATGTTACATATACTACATTAAATATTACACTTTCTCTACCTTAGGAACATTTTTCAATCCGTAAATCTCAGCGTGTATAGTCAAACATTGATGGGGTGTTAAGAATCCATCCAAGGCATCGGTTTGTGGACAATAACCAACTTCACCGTTACAAAGAGGACCCGAATCAATATCCTTGTCCTTTAAAACAATCCTACCAGCCGTAGCAATAACTTCGGTTGTGAGCATCTTAAAAATCGTGCTTTTACCGGCACCGTTGACGCCCAACAGACCGAAACATTTTCCGGGTTGAACGCCAAAGCTTAAATTCTGAACGGCAACGTTGGTGCCGTAAACGCTGCGATATTCTTTTCTCAATTTAATCGTCTTCAAAATATCTTCCTGAGCCATGCCACCCTCGACCCTGGACCTTTCTGCGACAACATCCTCGTCCTCCTCCACGACTTCGTAATTTATGTTCTGTTTGCGAAAATTTGGCAAGAGTCGGCATTCGACGATGATATTTGTTACGTATAATAACGCACCGATGATTATGAGAAAAACGTAATGAACCCCAAGAAGATCCCAGCCCAATGGTGACTTATAAGTGTCCATGTGAAACTTCTTCAACAATTCGGCAGCAATATCGTTCTTTGATAATTCCACGAGTGCATCCCCAAGAACATATTGCGGAAATATCATGAGAATTCGATGAAGTAAATCTCTGGCGTCGGCAGCCGCTTGACTCTTTCCAAGAATATCGATCACCAAAATAGTGGCTAAAGAACTAACACCTATAAACGTGTTCACGCAAAAGAGAACCATGTTGGACAAGCTGGAATCGTCGAATGCCTTCTCAGCTAAGTGGGAGAATGGAATGGCAGCCCAACTAAATGAACAGAACAAACTCGATAGTATTTTGGATATCCAAATGATTTAACTTTCCTTGTTTATTATACTTACGCGAATAAGAATAATAACAGGCAGACACCGGCTAGATTATCTTTCGATACGTATGTTGACAAGCCAAATATCTCGAAAACAACGACAGCCAAACAAATAGAACATCCAAAGATCTGTGAAAATAAATGATTAGAAAATTTCATCTAGAACTTATTGTTATTTCATTTTAATAATTATTTCAAATAAATTATATTCTATAAAAATTATGTTCTCTTTCCAGTCAATCATATGTATAATAATAAACTTCTACCTTTGTAAACTCGATTTATTTTATATTATTCCTGACAAAAAAAATCACAAAAGAGCTTATTTTTTCGGCCTCTAGAATGGCCTAGCCTCTAAAAAGCATAAATCCGCGTTTTGACAACGTAGATCCTCTTTAAAAGATTTTTTAAATCGATAATGTAGTATCTTACTAGGAAATCCCAGATCAAGGCCGTCGTCCAATAAGTCACCGGATGTACTCCAGCCAGATAAAGTATCCTTTTCTCTTCTGAAAGTCTTTCTCTTACTAACTCTTTCGTTCCTTGTGCAGCGACCAAGTTAAATGCGAGTAAAAGAACCAAGGCAATGCCAACGTCTGCGACTCGTTGCAATCTGAAAATCAAAATATCAAATTAAGTCAACCTGTTTATTTCTTTATATGTCTCTTCTTCTTCTTCTTCTTCTTTATCTTAAACCAAAAAAAAAGAATATATATATATAGAAAAAAAGTTAATAGAAAATTTCTTTACGATCAAAGAAAAGCTTTTGATACGAAAAGTATACAACGTCGTCGTTAGGATATCATTAGTATTCAAGAGGAGTTACGAATCTACCTAGAATCGTTAATCGGATCACGAGAAAAGCTTGTGCCATCGAATAGAGAAATAAAGGAAAAAAAAAGAAGGGAGTTTGTAAAAAGCGTGAAACAAGTTATCCGGCATGTAGACTGAATCATATGGAACGTTAATTAAAAGTAAATGAATCAGGTAACACGTACGAGCAGAATTCTCTTCTATCGTGTTACACAGCTACCTCTCTTAAGTATTCCGAATTCGGTGAAAAGACGTAGCAGTAACAGCAAAACTACAGCAAAAGCAGAGACAGCAATTCCTACTAGGACGAATTTCACTTCACTTTTCGATACGATAATAAATTCTCCCTTTTAAACCACCATCAATTTTTCTTTTTTTTTTTATAACAAAAATTCGTTAACCCATAGTGGGTTAACAGCTAATTCGAATACGAATAAAATTCATCTTTGAATATAAACCGATCTTAATTAAACAAAAGGATTAAAAAAAATGCATATATTGGAGACATGAACAGCTGCTATCTCTCTCTCTTTCTCTCTTTGTTTATTTCTACCAGACGTTAAGTTCCCTTTAAGCTCAAAGGTATAGGAGACAAGCAATATTTCGAGCCCTATATTGGCAACTCACAATGTGGTTCGATTCAATTGGTCACTGGAAAGCTTCAACGGATGGTTCAGGGTCGTTAAATGTCCGTTGACTCCTGAAGCACGAAGTATCGCTTCGTTGAGGGCATTAAGATAGGATGGCATCGAGTGATGGCCTTTATTGTTATACCAAACGACGAATAGAGGATCCTCCTTCCAATGAGAAAGCGACCATCCACCGTATCTGTAATGGCAAATCATAGAACGTTATTAAAATGAACATCAATTGGAGATAGAAATGATTAGGTCGTTCTAAAAGAATACAGGCATTTCCATATCCCGTACATTTGAATTGGGCTAAATAGTTTAGATTTATAGATACTTATTACTATATTCTATCTTATCTCATTACATCCAAAAATTACATCTTATAATAAAAGTTAAATCTTCCAACAAATGTGTAAATTTAAATACCTTTTCTCTATGTATTCCTGATGAGTGGAAACAATCCAATCAAGAGTAGGTCGTCCAGGTAAAATTTGCAAGAGTCCCTCGACCGCTTGTGATAATCCTTGACAGGTTTGTTGACCGTCCACGCATTCACATGTTCCCGTATCCTATATAAAATAATGATTATATTAGGATAATGTAAAACTTGATCCTTGGTAAGGTAACAACAACGATTTATCTTACATTCGGTAAAGTTTGCCAAGCACCAGCGTAGTCGTCGCCGAATCTATCATGTAGTTGGAGCGACACGTGTTGCAAAAATGGATCGTTGCTGTTATCGATACTAGAGAGGATAATATACAACATTGGATTACCGAATCTAACGTGAATAAACTTTGTAGGTAGACTCGTTGAATATTTAGTTAGAGGAATATATATATGTTACGAATCATTTTGGGAAATGTCGGAATTATGAACAATGCGTAGACATTATTCACAAATCTTAGAGATGAAGAAAGTTCGCGAAACAGAATGATGACACTTATATATAATTTAATAAATAAATATATTAATCGAAAAACTTAAATGCCTTGCGTTTAAATCATTCGTCAAAATCCGCACGAACTTTTCGTTGCTTAGGAATTTCGGTATTTCCCAAATGGTCCATGTGTAACATATATATATTTGATGTATTAAATACATATATCCTGTAGATATACCTGTAGAAGTAAGTTGGATGAGCGTCGTAAATCCTTGGGTTAAGTGCCAATGGTGGTTCGTCCACGGATGGTGGTCTTATTAGAGAGAAACCCATTGCCACGGCAACGAACATCGTCGGTAAAATGAAAGTGGCCAAGGGCGACCTCCAATCCTTTGCGAAATGCCACAGTCGTTTTTTCAATAAACCCTTGACTTGTCTCAACGCACTAGGTTTCGGGGAGGGTTCGAAATCTATCAAATCAATTCCGTCGTTCGGCACGGACAATCCTTAGGGGTAGAACGAATAAAATCCAATTAGATTGATCTCACCACCGTGACATAGAAACCAAATAATAAAACTACGTAATCACGGATTCAACAGTTAGAAGAAGACCCTTTTATACGATAAATACTAACCTATGTGATTAACTTTATCAGAGTTGTTAATGTTGACACGATTCAACATCGAATTATTATCGGCACGAGCACACAAATCCAAAAATACTCTTTCGAGAGTATCGCATTCCAATGAGAAGTGCAAGAATCCTAAAAGTTTTTGATTATCTTCGAGAACCTTTGCCGCTTGTGCTATGCTGTTGACAAAATTCAATCGATTCCAGACAAATATTCTAATTATGATAAAGATGATCTTTTTTAGTTAGCAAAAAATAATATAAGAATCTTACTCGTTGTTATTTCCATGTTTTCCTTGGAAAGGTAGATTAACAATGACTTCAGTTCCAGTCGTTTCATCGATGCTACAATTAGGCACGATTCCTTCAATGATTTTTTTAAGTGTTTCCAAATTCTTCCTCTCGATGGACTCACCAGAAATGTCATTCGGTGGATAAGATAAGTGCAACCTGTAGCCTCTACCGTGATTCATTTTCAAGGTCAGTGGTGACCCGGTGCAAAGGATCTTCCCTTTGTGCATGACAACTACTGTGTCACTTAACATGTCAGCCTCGTCCAGATGATGCGTTGATAACAGAACAGTTCTACCAACTCTATGTTGATCGATCAGTTGCCAAATTCTTCTTCTGGCTGCTGGATCCACTCCTGCACCTGGCTCGTCGAGGATCACCAATTTTGGTGAACCTAAGAAGGCCAGGGCCACGCAAAGTCGACGTTTTGTACCACCCGATAAACGATAAACCGGTTCGTGCTCTTGTCGACCTAATTCCAACGAACTTAGCATCCTAAACAATTAATTAAATATAAATTAAATTAAAACATTAATTGGAAAAATAAAACAATTGAGTTATTCCTATGAAATAAATAATTTTTCAAATAAATAAACGAAATAGGATATTTAAAGCTTACTCGTTAACATTTCTTTCCATAGTCACGTTATTCTTTTTTCCCTTGAGCTTTGAATAGAAGATCATATGCTCCCTCGGCGTCATAGTACCGATGAGCACGTTATCCTGAGGGCACACCCCTATTTCTGGCTTGCAACCCTCTTCACCGTTCAAACATATTTCACCGTTAGTCGGAGCGACCATACCAGTTAGCATCTTACTAAAATGAAATCGTATAATTCGATAAAACCAACTACTCCTAATATTTCATTTGATTATTTTAATCGAACTGATTACTTTACCCACATAAAACAACCATTTTCTTTTTTTTTATCATAGAAAAAAAACAATAAATATTATAAAAGTTAATTACCACCACAGAAAAGGTTGCATAGTTCAAATCTTAGATTTTACACCTTTTGTTTAATATTGATAAGAAACTAAACATATTTTCTAATTTTACTAATTGTAAAATATAATTACTAGTCATCAGCTTGACGAAGTGAATTTATTATAAAAAAACAATATATAAATAAAAATAATAAATTCCTATCTTTTACAACAATGTTATCGGATTTGTAATAATAATTGACTGCTATAAATATATATTAGAATATATAATATATACAAAATTGGCTTACATAAGCGTTGTCTTTCCAGCACCATTTCTTCCAAGAAGACTAGTCACTTCACCTTCGCAAAGCTTCAAAGTGAATTCATCGACAGCTACAACTTCTCCCGTGTCAGTGTTATAAACTTTACGAACGTTGTCGAATCTGACACCAATTTGTTTCTCGTTCACAGTCAAACTACTCACGTCGGAATCGTCTTCTACATTTTTTTTTAGGAAAATAAAATCATCCATTTTTTTTTGTATATTCTTTTCGATCATGAAAAGTTATCATCGATGTAATCGTCAAAGTAAATATGATTTCACCGATTAATAACATTATCATCATTATTTCAATAATAAATCTAAAAATAATTTCAATCGTGCAAGAAGACAAATTGAAAATTCAATCAATATTCACAAATACTTAATTGTTATGTCAAAAATTGTGTTCACAGAAGAAAATCAAACGGTAAGCAATGTCTGACATGAGACACAAATAAAAAAAGAAGAAAAAGATACATATGCGAACACGATGCATTTAATAAAAAAAGCAACAGTCAATGCAAATCAAATTTAAATCGGCATGCAAAATTGACACAAAACATGCTATCTCACAAAGAACACAAGTGCACAAATCACAAATTTTCGTTCAATTGATTTCGAAAAAAAAAAAAGAAGAACAAAGTACGAACAAAAAAAGAAGTAAAAACATGGAACAGGATTTATAGATCACAATGAACAAATAAACATGAACAAATAAATAAATGACAGCCGTGCTGCAAACGATAGAGGAAGAACGAATAAGAATGAATAAAATTCTAATCAATTTTTCGTTTCACTTATTGGGATAATAAATTTGCAATAATAACGCTACCAACCAAAAGTTTGAAATCTAATTTTAATGAAAATCATAAAAATAAAACTACGATAACGTTTAGATAAAATCAATTTTTAGTAAACTGGTCAATAAACGAAATTAACGAAAAGCCAATTTTAAGGGGCTACCAGTCAATAAACTAGCAGTGTAGAAAATCCTAATCGATTGCTGATAAATAATATGTTAACAAGTTGAATAATATTTCAAAACATTTCGTATGTCACATGGGAAAGAGTATCACAAAATTTTAGAAATGCTTGTGGATGAGATTTGAGTAAAAAATATTTAAATAAAAGTATTCAATATTTTCTCATAAATAGGGTAATGATTATAACTTCTAGCTTATTATAACTTTTTAGGTAGTAGATTATAAACTTTTAGCCGATAATGTATTTATGCAAATACAATAACCGATAAATCATTATTAACGTAACAAACAATCAATGCATTGTATTCCTCTCTTCCTTGTTCTTCCTCTCTCTCTCTCTCTTTCACACACACACACACAATACTCTCAGTCTATTTGACACAGAATGCAAATGAAGGTCCCCCCGGAAATAGGAGGACAAGCAAGATATCCGCTTGCGGCTCATGTGCGGTCCGCAAGCTGGGAGAGTGCGATACCTTGATAAGTGGTTGAAGGGTGCAGGACGTCGTTAGTGAGATAGAGATTGTTGACGAAGGCGAGGTAACTGGGTCTGCCATAGAGAGAACGTGTGTTGGCCCACCATAAACTACGGGACCTCAAACCATGAAAGTCCCTGCCTGGAAAATTATCGGTAATGCTCGGCCGTTGCGAAAAAAAGATGAGGATGAAAGAAGAAAAACAAAATAAACGACAAGAAAAAAAGACAAGAAAATTGTACACTTCTTCTTCTTCTTCTTCTTCTTTATGGGCTGGTTTCTATTTTTTGTTTATCGTCTTTATTTCTTTCTTTCTTTCTTTGTTTCGTTTATTTAAACGCGTATATATAAAAAGTTTCAACCAACTCTTCTTGTCTATTCTTATTAAATGTTAACGAATTTTCTCATCACCATTTTAAATATTTATTCTTCCCATTAACTAAAACTACGCGAAAACAAAATGCGTTAAGAGTTATGCGTATGGCCTTCCTTCCTTTCATTTCATTTCCTTTCCTACATTATGTAAACGTAATTATGCGAGGACGCTTATTACTTGATTTGTTTACATTTTTCTAAAAATATATATATACAACTTGATAAATTTTCAAATATAAAACGAGAGATTACGTTTCTATAAAAAAGAAAAATAAATACAAACATCTAATATATTATATTTCTCTATTATTTCTACCTGCATATGAACGAACAAACGAACGAATGAACGAAGAGTCAGAGTAGAACGTTAAACTAAATTATTATAATTCTCTTGAACAACCTGGTAACATGATACGATTTAACACCGATAATAGTTGTAAACATAGAAATATTAATAACGTAGAAAAAATGGAGCACGTATAACAGAAGCGTATAAAATTTGAATGTAAGTTTAACAAGCCACACCCATAAAAAAAATAGAATGTTATTAAAAGATCGCACGTAATTCTAAAAATATGAAGAATCTATTAAACATTGCACCAAAAGAGAGAGTTATGCATAAATATATACAGGATAAAGTATTTTCTATATTATAAACTTCAATTAGTTCGAAATGATTAAACTAAATGAAAACTGAGTAATGTAATTCCTCCTTGGGTCTCATTTCATTTAAAAATAAATCCTACAATCCAAGTTGTAATGTTTAATGATTTTGAAAAAGTTCATTTATAATACTTTGAATACTTCATCCTTTATATAAATATACAGGAAACTTTCAAAACATGTAGACATAATTTAAAGTGTGGTATCAGCTATATTTTGAAAACAAGTTCACGTCAAGTATTATAATAGTATAATACTCTTTTTTGTTTCATCGTACTGAAACCACCCCTGAAAAGTTCATACCCACGTATTTTGAAACTCCTTGTATATATAAGTGGATTACAAAAGTGTATAAAAAGTTGGCGTTACTCGAGAAATATATTTACTTGGTAAGATAAAGAATAATAGGTTTCAACCCGTTCACCAATCATACTACCTTCACCAGAGCATAAATTATTATAGTTATATGATACTAGTAACTTATAATTACTTACTCTCTTTTCCTTTCTTTCTCTCTCTCTCTCTCTCGTTAATTTGTTTTTGATTAGTATTATGTATATATGTATGTTAATATACTTATGAAAATATTTGACACGGTTACCTGAATTCGTATATTTAGTGATGAAGTAACCGATCAATGCATAAATGCAACCGTCAAGTGCTATCATAAATAAAATTAGGCCAAAAGACATTGGATCACCGGGACTTGACTCTTCCCACATATTTTTCCACGTGATACCAGTTCCTTGTACTTCTTTGCGAACTACGTATAAACAACCATAACAGAAACTGGTCGACATACTGAGACACTAAAAGGTACAAATTAATTAACAAAATTTATATGAATGATTAAAAAAGTATTTGATTAAAAGAATAATTACTTACGATAAATAATTTGTAACCCAAACCAAAAGCAGCTTCCATTGCTATGACGATAATGTAAGGCATGTAAGTTAACAAAAACATGACTACTGTTGTAATGGCTGAAAGACTCGCTGAACTGAATATCGTAGAAATCATGTAACTGTGAATGAACAAATAAAAACAAAAAATCAGTAAATTGATCAATAAGTTTTGTTTTTTAATTTAGATGAGAAGTATTGATTATAATAAATTACCAAAACGTTACGATGGAAAACACATAATCGAAGAGTAGCATTAGAACTAGTACAGGATTAGACCTTGGAAGAATTTTACCAGCCAAGAGAATTAAACTGATGCAAATAATCACGACTGATAACTCGATAAAAGAAGTTATGAACCATGCGAACGTATTTCGCCAAGGTTTCAATCCCATAACGCTCATCACCTAAAATTTGTAGTAGATTAATTACAAAAATAAAAACAGCATAAAATAAATGTAATTATAGTAATCTATTATTGAAGATTTTCTACCATAGAATTTCTAGATTCTCTTTCCCAAACGATATGACGAACAGCTGATCCAACGCACATCATCAGTGCAAAGAAGAAACATACTTGAAGCCCTTGTGATTCGTAGAGGGTTGTTTGAAATCTTAAATTTAATTTTTAAATTAATTTTTGCTGTAGTTGAAGAATTCTCTTCAAGAAACAAATTAGAAATATAATAATATATCCAAAATACCCAAAATATACTTAACGATTATACAAATAATAAAATATTTGATTAACATTCGACCACATATTGTTCAATAATAACTCACGGTATGTGTTTCCAACAAGGATAAGGCATTTGTTGCGTCAACGTCTTCCAATTCTGATCTTTTTGAGATTTAACTTTAATGATAGCACGATCAACAGCATCCTGAAGTTGTATAAAACCACGAAGATATCTAAGATCTTCGATAAAGTTACTTTCCGGTCCGGGAATCCAAAATTGATTCTTCAATCTTGTAGTTGACGGAACATAATCCACGTCCATTCGAATCTTATAAGTGATATTATCGGGTAATTCATAATCCAACGATCTTTTAGATCTTTCAGTTTCCTTATCCAAAAAGACAATGCCTGCTAAAAACTCGTTAGTCTCCATAAGAGAACGAGCATAAATTTCTAATTCGTTTTCCGTTGAAAATCCTTTCATTCGATCGATCAATACACAATCCAACAAATCATTTAACATTTCAACCATCGTAATCAATTTTTTCGATCTTTTTAATTTCCATGCTATTTCACCGAAATTAAATTCCGAAAAATTACCTGTGAAAAATATTCAAATAATTTTAATAATATTTAATAATATTCACATATTATTTAGATAACTGTAATCCTTTGCTTACCTTCGAAGTTTCCACCACCAAAACTCTTGATTGCTATTTGCATGACTTCCGATGCCAAAATATCCTGTAGTTCGTTTAAACTATCACCCATTTCCGAAAGACTTGCCAATGATTTAAGTGTCTCTACGAAACTATCCATCAATTGACCAAAGTGATCCATCTGTACGAAAGTATCGTTCGTTAGAGACATAACTTTCTTGATTGCGGCAGTGTCAGGTGCATAAAGGATCTGACCACGTAACAGTGGTTTTATGTAAGACCAAATAATCTTTCCTGCGCCCATGTTGATCACACTCTTGTAAGTTTCCCTACAAAAATCAGCTGTAACGATAACGATCATTAGTATCATTCATTTCTTTCGTTTTGCATTTTAATTAAAATTAACCCATTCGTTCTTAACGATCATCCACACAGACCCATATAAAGAAAAAACCATACGTAACACTCAAACTCGTAAACTTAAACATTTTTTTTTTTTGATAAATAAATTTATTACTTGGCAACGAATCGAGTTCAACTTTGTCGTCTTCCTTTATATTGTCTTCGATACTTGCAATCATTTTGTAAAATCTATTGTTAGTGTCCAACACAGTTTTGCCGCAAAGCATTTTGCTCGAATCCGATAGAAATTCCGAGCCTAAAATAATAATAATATTAATTAATTATTGACAATATTTCTTCTTGTTCTTTATCGTTTTATAATTATCGTTTTATTACTCGACATTATTCCTTTGGCATCGGATTCCTCCCCTCCGTCAGTTTCGGATTGTAAACTCTCAGGAGAAATGAAATTTCCGGAAAGTTTGTCTTTGAAAAATGGAATCAATTCGGATGCGACTCCTAAATTATCCAATACTAATTTTCCTTCCGTTTCGGTTAAATTCGCATTTGCTAAGATGTTTTTTACATTTGCGCTTAATAACTGAAATCATGATTTTTCTTATTATACTCGCAAATAATAATACAATAATTAGATATTAACATTTGTTAGGAAATACTTACGGTTTTGAGGATGTAGTCGAAATTTAAATTTTTGATCAAAGTTATGGCAATATTTTGCGTTTGAGTATCGTTCAACGTACAAAGAACAGTGCTGATTTCTTCTATCGTAATTTCAGTATGATGAACGTCCAACATATCTCCTAATTTCGATGGGGAACAAATGGTATCCTTCAAACTGAATGCTCGTCTTTCTTTCATGAAAACCGAAATCATGTCGATTTTAGCTTCACTCAAAATCAATGCTGTTTCTTTCGATAAATGTATTTTATTAATCAAGTAATTTCTCACTGTGTCCCAATTATCGAACATATCACTGACGACGTCTAAAAATTAATTAAAGGAAAAGAAAAGAAACAATGAATAGTAACGTCTTAGTAAACATAAAATAAATTAGAAGAGAAAAACTTGGACAAACTTTACATTTAACGTCCAATAATCCCAAATTTTTAAAAATTTCCATAGACTCAAGTGCAACGATCATACTGTTCAAATCGTCGATCAAATTGTGATCATTCAAAAATGGTGTAACGTCTTCCAACATTTCGTGCATTCTGTAACACAATAAAACTGTTGTAAATAAGAAGGGGAAAAGAAAAAAAACATGTAAGAAAAATATTTCATAACTGAGCGATTACCCGGAAAATATTTTATCGATGGTCTTGTCCTTGAGAAGATTAACAACCCCATCAACTATGTCGGGCATACCGAGAACATTGGAAACATCTTGGAAATCGATCTTGAAAGCAACGTCAAAAAGATTACCACCCTCATCGAGGACAACAGTTAAATGACGTAAGATCTGTTTCAGCCATGTCAGATTCCAGGATGCATCTTGACGCCACTCTATTATTTCTTGTCTTATCAATGACAGATCTAAGCTTTTCGCTAATCGATCTGATATATCCATTACCGATGGATACTTGGATAATTTAGGATCGTATCTTAAAACTTTAGCCGCATTTTTCGAACTTAAAAATTCATAAAGTACGCTAACGTTTTTGCACTCGAGTATTGTACGACACATGGAATGACTTTTATTATTCAATATGCCGTTAACGTTGATCATAGCGTTTGCTAATAAATTATTTACGATTATTTTGTCAGATTTTTTCACAACTTCTACCAACGGTTTCCAAATGGGTACGTATTTTTCCGCTAGATTCGTTAAATCTAATATTTTCTCATGGTATCTCGTGTTGTCCAATAGAAATGTGTTCTTTTCTAACATCTCCAATATGCCGGTGATTATTTTTATGTACCTTCAACAAAAATTAAATATCTTGTCACTTGTTCGCGCGCAATGTATGTATGCTAACGCAAATCCGTTTGTAACTAACGTAGAAATTTTTTAAGTCGTCTTGTACGGAACCCCAACTACAGTAAATTAATACGGTGTGGGTGGTAGTGATACTAAAGGCACAGTTCTTTAGTCTATAATGATTTTTTTCACAAAGTGTGTATGATTTAAGCAACCAATGACAAAACAAAGGATTAAAGCCAAATATATATCGGGAAAGATGTTTTGTTTAAGATTGGATAAGTATAAAAAAAAATAAAAGTATTTTTATTACAAGCCTGGTCTAGAGAACGCTGGTTCTCCAATGAGCTGTTTAAAACAATGATCCATCTTCTCCTTGTACGTTACGTTTTGAAAATTAACAATTATGTCTGCAATGTAATGTAACGTCGTTTCGATACTCGTTATAAATGCATTCAATGTCTTCTTATCATTCAAATATTTGTAATTATTAATCTAAACGATAAATAAATCCCATAAATAATTTATTTTAAACTTAGTTGAAAGGATCGATAATCAATTATTCTCTTACAACTCACCATATTCGTGGTTTTGTTCCAATAAAATTCATTGATGAGTCGATTATGAATTTCCCAATTATTCAATTTATTAGTATCGCAAATGAGTTGTGCGTAAAGCGCGTGTCGCGATAATTGAGTATTAACGATATCGATCATCGACGTGCTGCACCATGAACAATCTCTAAAAATAATAATAAATTTGTTGATTTCATTGTGTCAGTTCAATGATTAAGCGTTAATTCGAATTAATCATTAAACAAATTTTACTTGTCGGAAGATGACGTTTTCGTGAGATCTTTGATCACATTTCCGAATTTATTGACAACCGAATGAGCCAACGTTCGCAAATCCTACGAAAAAATATCTTTCATTAATGACAAAATTCTAGCGGGTACTTTTTTTTAGAGAGGCAAACTTCGTAGTTAAACGATTTACCTTCTTTTTATATTGCAAAGAAAAATCTTTGAGAGTGCCCTCCTCGAAAGACGTCCACCAAGTTGGAACCTTTGGATTCTTGTAACCTTCTGAACCAACGCGTATCAAAGTTGACGCCAAACTATTAACTACGTCGACAAAATAACTTGCATTCCAATATTTCACTTTATCGTTGCTAACTATAAGGTTTTTCTAGATAAAAGTAAAACAAAACAAAATTGGATATGAACTTTTTCGGATAAAACAATTTTGTTAATAAAGCTGTAGTATCTCGTTGCAAAAAATTCGATGATATTTGCTTGCTTTTTGTCCTTTAATAATATTTGTTCTTAACGGTTTCAAATAACTTACCTCGATTTTCACGTCGAGTGATAAAAAGTCCATGGCCGTGGGGAATTTCTCGTTCGCAAGTACGTTGAGACAAAAATTACTGATGCTAGAAAGAAGGGCCTTTTTTCTGACAAAGCTCGGTGGAATCAAATACCTGTCGATATCGCAAGGATTAACTTTGCCTTGAAAAAGTTTATCCGCGAAGTCGTTTAATCTTTCGGAAGTTAGGAACGTGTCGATACTGGTTAAAACGAGATTCGGTATGTCCTCGATCAGCGTCAACATTGGTTGGATTTTCGAATTCTCATAGACGTTGCGTAATTTTTGCCAAATGTCACCACCACCCGTTAAAAGATCCATCAAAAAGTTTAACAAACGTACGGATTTAATAATTTTCACGTAAGGATAACCATTCATGATCAATGATTTCGACGATTCGTCTAATTTCTCCAGTGGTTTTTCATGTTCAACAACGATTTTGTATACCCATGATTCTTCAGCAGCTTTTATAACATCCCACGTGTCCGAAGATAAATTCATCCAAGTTGTCGAATTGAAGATGTTCGATCTAACGATTATGTTTTCGTGGGAAGACACGATTTTTATCAACGCGTCCAAAAATTTAATCAAAGCTGAAGACAAGGGTGTGGATTTGACGAGAACGTTCTTTTTTCCTTCGACGGTTTCCTGGAAGATACAAATCATTATATTTATGGTATTTGAATAATCAATTTTAAATATAAATTTTTCTGAAATATCTTACGTAAAATTCTGTACTGGTGATTGATTTTAATACTTGATACGGATCGAACGTGCAAATTTTCATGAGAAAATAATTCCGATCTTTTTTCGTCCAATAATTGGAAAAATAATGCGGATCGCAAAAAGTAGCACGTAACTTATCGCGAGGTAAAAATTGTCCAGTTTTCTTATCCAATGTTAAAAGACGAAAAATCAATGCTATCGTTTCTTCGGGAGATGATTCGAAAATTTTCAACAATTGTCGAATATCACCGGTTTTAATCGCTTGCCAGATATAAATCTGATCGTTCTTTATTTCCAAATTCTCCAAAGCTTCGGCGATATTAACCAAAGCTTCGGAAATACCTTCGATGATCAGCTTGTGGTCCGTCCGTTCGGTATTTAATTCTACGATCTGAAAATACAGAACGGAAAACACTTGTTGCGTTCAAAATCGAATAGAAATTCACAACAACACTGCTGTTAGCTATTAATCGATATATTTTTATTGATTTACCTTATACGATGTTGATTCTATATATTCCAAGGAATCTTTCAGTTTCATTAAAAGATCCTCGAAGTATAATTTTGTGAAAGGTTTTTTTATAATTATTGTACTGTTTATCCTCGCATTAATGGATTTGGCAAAATCGTACAAATCACCGATCAAAGTTATCATGTACGAACGATACTGATTCATCGGTTTTCGAAATACCATTTCTTCTCCAACAGCAAAATCCATGTAAGCGTTAAAATTTTCCGGATCAAGATTGCATACGAATTTTTGTATTTCCGAATATTCTTCCACGGTGATACCAACTTTAACGTCTGACCACCAATCGAACATATCCTTGCATTCGAATTCATTTCCGTTCTTCAATGTTTCTACAATTTTATTCTCAATTCTTTCATCGGAAAGACCATTTACCACCGTCGACAAAATGTATGGTAATTTATTATAAATTAATCCGACCACGCTTTCGTTGTTGAAACCCAACATGGACAATAAACTGATGTCTTGTGATCCTTTAGAAGAGAGAAAAAAAAAAAGAAAAGAACAAAGGAATTAATAGAGAAATCTCCGAATATTTTCATTCAAAATTATACACGTTATTTCAACTAGAAGGATAATGTTTGCTTAAAGAATAAAAAGAAAGAAAGCAATAAAGAAAAGAAAGAAACGTTGTTAAAATGCACCAACCATCTTGAAGAATATTGGTCACAAGTGAAAGTGTTTCATGTAGGACGTGAGAAAGAAACTTCCCAAGGACGAGTAATTTATCGATCAAGGTAATCTTCGATTCCCACAAGTTGCGCATTGTTACGTTGCTGCTTTGAAAAACTTTGATCGTCTTGTCCAATTCCAAATCGATGTAATCCAAAAAACTCCTGTCCAATAAATTAATTATTTTTTCTTATATAGCTTTTTATACTTCGAATACTTTTTATTATTTATTTTCACATTGGAGAGAAAAAAACCATATTGGAATAATCCCTTGTGTTTACCTCGCCTTGTTTTTCATATTCGGTAAACGTTCTTCAAAGATTTTCTCAAGTTCTGGTTCGAGTGCTTTCATGTAAGGCACCAATTTAGGATTTTCGTATAAAACAATTTCCTTGGTGTCGCTGATCAAATCGTCAAAATCTTTGACCAAATGACGAAATTTTATGTACCCCAACCGCCAATCAAAGGGTGGCATCGTTACGTTGGAATTGTGTTGAAACTGTAATGCAAAAACACAAATTAATTGGATAAATCTGAAGGGGAAAAATAAATGATATTTTCTTTGTTTATATTTGAACTTATACAATTCTTCGAGCCTTCATTAAAACGGGATGATTTCTCCATTCTTTAATAAGTTCAATAGGCTCGCAAGCTATCCTTTCGAGTTCCTTTATAAATGATTGACTTCCTTTCCTAAATTCCAAAACTGTCCCAATACTCTCATTTTTCACACACGGCCAATCAGTTTCGCGTTCTTTATACTCATTGATAGCAGTTATCTGAAAAATTAGATGATACATTCAATTACGATTTAATTAAAATGATCAATTACACCAAACGAGTATACCAAAAGTCATTTTTTACCCATCTGAAAAATAATAAATTTTATTTTGTTTTGTATAGTTGTGTGGAATGATTTATTTTTAAACTAGTATTGCAAATAAATATAATAGAAATTAAATGTAATATCTTCGAATAAAATGTAGATTAAATTTTTTTTAATAACAAACTGTACAACTTTCGAAACATTCCTGTAGATTGAGAGAAACACAAAGAGAGAGAGAGAGAGAGAAGGAAAATGACTAAAAAATTGAACTTACAAGATGAATAGGTAAGCTCAATGAAATCAAATCGACTCCATCTAGAATGATCGGTGACAAATTTGTCATGAAACTTTCCAATAAGATTTGCGTTTTCGGTAAAGAAAGATCCGAAAGATTGACAACACGATCGTTTTTACGAATCTGATTGATGGCCGAATCAATGCTGTCAAATGTCACCGAGACCGACCAAGCGATCGCGTAGATATTTGTCCAAAATCTTTTAACTTGAATGTTGAACAACGTATTTTCCATAACAGTGAAGAGCTTACATAGAACACCTACGCTGCAAATAATTAATAACAGAACTTGTCACCAAATAAATATTCCCAATAATAATATCGATTGGAAATCAAAAATATTAACACGTTCGCGGACAGTAAAAGTTTCAGAGAGGACAAAAAAAGAAAAGGTGACAGTCATTTTATTTTTCAATTAATTGTGATATCCAAAATTTGATTAAACAACATTTTACAAGGGCAGACAGATTATCATATATTACAAATATAATTTAATATAATATAATAATTATATTATATTAATTATATTATATTAATTATATTATATTATATTATATTAAATAAATATAATATAATAATTACAAAAACTCTAAGATTGTATATAAAATATATAATGGTACAGCATTCATGTCATTCTACATCTCAATGAAAATGAATGCTATAGCATTGAAGTTCGCGAACGTGTTAAACGCGTACCTGATCTCCCAAGCTTCCCTTGAAGTTAAATTCGTCGTCCACGATGTTTTAAAGTTCGACTTGAGATACTGCAATTGAAGTAAATTGTAATTCTTGTCCTCTTGAAATAGCAGCTCGTCGATGTACTTGTAAATTTGAATGATTTGATCATTGAACGAAGTCCAACTGAATTTTTCTTCCTTCCCATTTTGATCATTGTTGAATTTAACATTGGTTATATTAATCATCAATACATTTTCGACGGATCTCGAAACACGACAGATCAATTCTTTCAATAGTTTCTCATCCGATCCAATTGGATATACGATTAAATTCGGTGGATTCGAATTGATACAATAGGATTCCGTAAAGTTAGCATATTCCAATATTTCCAAAGTCTGTGTTAAACGGAAAACCATTATATTGGATAATGACCGTCAAATTTCTATATACACGCTTTCTCTTTTTACGTATTTTGTAAACGTGAAAAAAGAAATCGAAATACTACAACTGACCTTTCTTTTGTCCGTGACTGTCAAATAAAATGATTCAACGAGTTGATACTTGTTATTACGAAACTGATCGATCCAATTAATTGGTTGTTCCTTGAGATCTTGCAATATGATTTTAGATAATTTGTACATATTTTCTAAATTAGGTACTATCGTGAAATACGATAAACTACGTGACCCGTATATCTTTGCTATACTCAAATGTATTCCTAATCTGTTAAGAAAACAATTTTCAAATCATATACAATTAATTATGTAGAATAAATTATGTGCGATTGGTTGAGCAGTTGTCAACTTCGATAAAAAAAAAATACTTTTATTGTATTTATTGTATAATAAATTAAGAAACAATTATGAAAGATCAATATTAACTCACACATCTAATCTTCCTTTGCTTCGTGTATCCTCGATAACTTTTGACCAATTTTCATTAGCCCTAAAAATACTCCAATCTGGATCATCCCTTATCGGTGATTGCAAATAAGAAACGAAATCTCTGGTTACCTTGACGACTGTAGTAAGATTTGTTCGTTCGATTCCATAAGTACTTTTGAAAAACATGCTAACTAACGTTGATAAGGTATTTTCTATCTGCAATATTGACGCATTAATTAACACCATAGATACTTAAGGTCTTATACATACGTCCAGAATTTTCCAAAAATCGATTTTTATTTTTATTTAACATACTGTTGTTCTCTATATGTTTAGGCTTATTTCTGTAAAAGTTGATTCCCCATAGATCCAAAGTTATGGTAGAAAATGTGACTGCCCGACGAGAGTTTGGTGCTCTCTCGCAGATAGACACTTCAAACTTTAAACGCATTTTTTCTCGAAACTACTTTTTCATGATAACTCTCATACAGTTTTTCATATTTTTTAATGTGATATGTTTTTTTTTTTGAATATTCGAAATCGTTTTCTCTGTAATTATCGCGCGAGCCGAATTTTGGATACTTTGATTTAACAATTGTATGAAAACAATTAAAGTATCAAATTTATGACGTAAAACGCATACTTTTTGTTAAAACTGCTTAAACGTATGTAAGACCTTAATTACTTGTATAATTATCAATAAGTTTCTCTTTGTTTTTGTTATCTTAGAAAACACATCATATTTACGTACAATTTTTCCGTACTCTTGAAAATGAAAATTCTGATAAATGTCGGCAACGAATTTCTTTCCCGTATCGCTGCAAATAATCTCCTCGATATTTTTCAATTGGTTTTCCGAATGACGAAGATCATTGTCGAATATTTCGTTAAAAATGTTCTTCTCGCAAATAAATTCTTCCATTTTCTTACCTTTCGCACCAATCATTAATCGCTAAAAAAAATGTTAAATAAATTAATACACTATCTCTTTGGAAATTCGTATCTTGAAATATTGCAAACAGAGAGCTACGAAATAAAACCCATTGTTTGCGAATATATATATATATATATATTTTTTTGTCTTCTGGTGATACAAGTTTTTCGGACACTGTGTAAAATTTGTCAAATAAAATACAAACAAGTTTACCTCTAAAAAATCTAAACGGGATAAAGATTGCAGCATATTCTGATAAACCACAGGGTCAACGTTGGTAAGAATCTTTCCTACTAATTCTTGATAATTTTTACAAATGTCATAAATATTTTTAACTGTTTCCAAATGAATAACAGCCACGTGATGAGTCATTCTTACAATATTCTCAATCAATGAACTAGCATACGTAAGCGTGTTAACTATATTCTCGGAAAGAAAGTATTTTAAATTATCGATGACTGCTGCGGTTCTGTAAACATTAAAATATCATCAAATTATTAGCTAATATAATGATAAAAAAAAAAAATTCATTTTCAAATTTAAAGATAAATATTAAACGTACAAGGAAATCTGATCGGCATGATGATTTAGCAATTTTTCAGTCAGGGTTATTCCATCCTTCAGAACGAGGAACGTCATGTCTAATATTTTCGTAATTTGTGTTTCCTCCGTTTTACCGAGTGAATAATCTTTGATAGTTTTGGACATATTATCCAAAACCACAAAAAAATCATTCGAAGATTCGATAGTATGATTATGTAAAAATGTTTTTACCATTCCAAGTAACGTGTTTAATTTTAAAAATCCATGACGAGCAACGGTCCAATCATTTTCCTTCTCAAAAATAGGATCCAACATATCCACCAATTTTTTAATACTATAAATAATAAAAACAATGAATAAATCGATTCATATAGGTATACTTATTACGAGAATAAATGAAAATGAAATGTACTCACAAATTAAGATCGATTTCCTTGAAAGTGACGTTTCGAAAGAGCATTATAGCATTTGGTAACCATTCACGAATTTTAAGATAACTCGGCACGTATTTATCAATAGATTTTAAATTTAATATAATATCAACGGTACGTTTGAGATCTTGAAAAAAATCATAGCTACGAAATTTTCCCATAACGCGATCGAGCATGCCCAACAAACCGCTAAAATCTAAATGTTTAGATAATTCCGATAATATGTCGGGAATTTGATTTGCATCCAATTGGCAAAGAACTTTCGAAATTTCCCCATAATCCTCTTCGTTCGTAAGTATCATATATTTTTTTAAATTTTCCTTCGAACAAACGATACCATCGATATTCGTAGAACCGAATGTTTCGATCAACTGTAATCAAATATTCAAATAATTTAAAAGAACAAAAAAAGAAAGAAAAAAACAACGATGAAAAATAATTCAATGGAAATTAACCGACGTAAACACCATTGCAAAAAACCCACCACACCCTGATACGTGTGCGTACGTTTAATTACTTTTAATATTAAAATTATTCAATTAAAAAAAAAAAGACATATTATATAATTTAATTCCTTTACATCTTGTTAGGTTTGCAATGTTTTATGTCTCATTGAAATTTATTAATTCAACCTAGGCTAGGATTTATTAATTCAATAAGTAATAATAAACAAAAGATTCATTAACATTTCTCAACACATTGTTTATATAATAATTTGATATTCTATAGGTTACCAAAGTATTATGTACAATCCCTAGGAAAAGTCCGTAACAATTGTTCATAATTTCGAATTTTCCCAAATGATCCGTAACAAAGATTTAAAAAAAAGAAAAATAAGGAAATTTTACTTACGTAATACAATCTTATCGAAGATTCAAATAGACCGTCAACCAAAGAAGGGCTTGCTCGTGGCATTTGAGCCCTTAATAAGCTCTTGATCCGATCGTGATTGTTGAAGAGGTCACCAAGACGAATACCTCTGTCTATAGACATTAGAAAATTCTGTTACTCACCCTTCTCCCTCTCTCCCTCTCTCTCTCTCTCTCTTTCCTTTGTTTAAGGGGCACACTTAGTGTGAAATTTTAAAAAAATTGATTTTTTTTTTTTGCATAGTTTGATAATCTATATCTTATAAAAAACATACTGAAATTTCAAATAAATATTTCAAATAGTTTTAGAATTACAGCCTTCTAAAGAGTAGCCACTCAGGGATTAGAAAACAATCATTTTATCTTTGAACGCGTTTTTCTCAAAACTACATTTTTCAAATTGGTTGCAGTTGTAACTCGAACAAGAATCATCCGATCGCTTTGATTTTTTTTCTGCTTATTTCGTATATGTTTCTCTGTACAATGATCTAAAATTTTGTCGATTGTATAAAAAATGTAGTTTTGGCGGGCCAAAAATCATCAAAATTTTCAGCACAATTCGATGTTTTTTTTTAAAAGTCTGCCATTTTGTTAAATATCAATTTTTTTCACAATTTTAGGTCATTGTATAGGCAATACCTTCTAGATTAACAGTATTTTTTTTTTTATTTCATCCACGGTGTGAAAGCCGGAATCACTGCAGCCGTTTAGGCCCTTTTTTTAGTGACTTAAGAGATAGCGAATAACTCGCTGAAAATTACCTTTTTTTATTTAAAAATTTTAATGAATATTCGTTAATTATGTATAAATATATACTCTAAATTTTAAAATATTTCATGCAGTAGTTTTCTTGAGAAAAAATTCCCAAAAATCACCTTTTTTTAGGTTTTTTAGGCACACTAAGTGTACCTCTTAAACGATCGAGAATTTCGAGAAACGAAATCGGTCGTATTATAATATTTACCAAACAACGTTTTGATTTCTGGTCGGGTAAGTATCTCCGCCATTGATTTGAGAAGTTGTATGCTTTTCGGTAAAGTTTTCACTGCTGAAAGAATCGTCTCGTTATTCAATATTGGCTGCATATCAACTACTAAAGGACCTAAACTGTAATCAAAAAATCGTACAATCAATAAACAAAATACATGTTTGTACAATGACGACATTTAAATTAAATTATTCTAATTAATCGAAATAAGTACCTGGCATTACTGTACGTTGGTACTTCCTCGTATTCTGAAAGTAAATCGCAAGGATTCCCAATGCTACAGATATAACTTTGAACGAATGGTAAAAGTCCATCTTGTGGCATTGATCTTGAAGGAAAATGACAAGTTGGATGATATTCTGGATCGACATTATCTCGAACCGTGTAGAGGATTAGAAAAACCAAGATTGGCCATAAAAATATCAAGGCTAAAATACCCTAAAATTGATATATCATCAAAATCATGGTTATTTTTATCTCATCATTATTATCAGTTATCATACATACTAATTAATAATAAATACTAATTTATTCAAGAGTGTCGAAACATTTGTTTCTTCGTCTTTAATATCAAAATTCAAAAAAAAAAAAAAAGATAAAATAGTAGATATTAATAAATTAAATTTAACAATATATTATTGTTATTTTAAATCCTTCGAAATCCTTCTTTTATTACATTTAATGATTTCATTTATATAATAAATATATATGTTTTATTGTATAATTATGTTATTGTATCATATATATATGAATATTAATTAAATTTCATTGATATAATAACCATTCAATATAATATTAATTTAGATGAAGTCAATTGAAATTTCAGTATACTCACCGGTTGTCTTTTACGTACGATGTAATTCTTCCAAAGAAGAAGTGCGAGCTGATCGCAGCTCATCTTTTTTTTTGTTTGTTTCGCGTCACGCTAAAATAAATGAACAAAAACAAATTAAAATACAATAACATCATAAGCCCACCGCGAACAAATTGTTGTTCATATTTAAATTAAACAAACGAACAAAATTAAACGAAAATTCAATAGAAAGGAGAACGACCAACGAACGAAACAAAGCACACAATTGAAACAATTCAATATCTCGAAATGTAATACTGTCGTCAATGTACGTAATATTAAACTTGGATCGATAGAGAAAAAAAAAAAAGAAACAAAAAAATAAAAAAGACGATAATATAAAAGTAATAAAACTTAAATGACGATGTTTTATTACAAGAAAAACTATGAAGAAAAACTGAACGGTATTAATCTGATCTTATGAAAGAAAAAACACTATCCTTGCTTAAAAAAAATTCCAACACACACAGAGACAATAATATCACCGATTATTGATTATCTTTGATTATGGATGTCATCAAAAACTAAAATCCATCAAATAAAAGAAGCAAATCTTTGAAAAATATGATACATATTAAGGGGCACACCTAGTGTGACAGCCAAAAAAAAGGCGATTTTTGGGAATTAAACAAAAAAAAAAACTAGTGAATCAATCGTTTTAAAATTTTGAGGGTATATTTATACATGTTTTGAGAATACACAGTAAAATTTTTGGAATAATATATTAAATATTTTTGAAATAACACGCGATCTCCGGCGGCGCCAAAAAAAAAAGGCCCTCCACTGCTGGAGTGATTGCAGCCTTCTCCGTTGATAAAACAAAAAAAAAAAAAAATTCTCGTTAAACAAAAACATATTGTCTGTACGATGACCCCCCTCGGGCGAACAAAAAAATCAAAAATTGACAAAATGGCGGCATGTTGAAAAAAAAAGTTAAATTTTACCCAAAATTTTGGTCGTTTTTGGCCTACCAAAATTCGATTTTTGATCAGATCAAAAAACTGGAGAGTCATCGTATGGAGAACTATATAGAGAAGATGTAACAAAAATTTGATAGCGATCGGATCATTTGTCTCCGAGTAATCACTCCAGCAAATTCGAAAAATGCTGTTTTGAGAAAAACGCGTTTAAAGATAAAATGCAACTACCTAACTGCCGAGCGGCTACTCTTTTAAATGGCTGTAACTCAAAAACTATTTAAGATATCGATTTAAAATTTTAGTATGTTATTTTTAAAGGTATAACCTATCGAAATATGAAAAAAAAAAAATTGATTTTTTGAAAAGTTCACACTAGGTGTGCCCCTTAATACATATCAAGAATGAAAGGAGAAGAAAAGAAGAAAAAAAACCAAACGGAATAAAAAAAAACGATTAACATTGAAGAAGGGAGGAGTGTGTGCGGAGAGGAGAAGGCGGAGTAGGAGGAGGAGGAGGAGGAGGAGGGGGTTGAAATGGACAAATATGATTTGCCTATATAAATTGGCATATATTGTAAATGATAATGTACTTGTTAGAATAAAATGTATATATTAAATATAAGGAATATTTCTTTAAGGATGAAAGTCTATCGGGATGCACCGAGTCAGATAAAGAAGTTTCTTTGTCGCTTTAACCGGTTGACCTCCAAATCATAAACACATACACACAAATATACACGGAGAGAGAAAAAGATAGACACACACACAGAGACACACTTCAGTTTCTTTTCCTTTTCTTATAATATATTCGGACGTAGTTAAATATATATATATATATAGATAAAAAAAAAAAAAATACCGGCACAGACAACAGATGATTACGTTCATCCTGATGTAACAACACACAGAATCAAAGTAATTATTGATTTGGAAATACCGCCATAGTCTTATCATTAACGTAATAGCAGCTTCTTCTTTTATTATTCTTTTATTCTTCTTTACATCAACGATTTTTTATTTAGCTGAGCTAACTAATAACACACGTTGTATATTTTAATCAAGAAAAACATCGTTAATATGTAATAGTTAAATAAGAAAAGTCATATGAACTGGAAAAAAAAATCTCTTGTAAGAGGAAGGGTAACCCATAATCGGTAAAAAACATAGGAGTGGTATAAATTAATTGACTAATCAAGAGGAATAAATTGTAATAAAAAGAAAAAAAAAAAAAAAAAAAAGAAAAGAAACATGTAACAAAAAGGAACGTCCCATCGATATTCAAATTCAAAACGTCTCTTCCCCCTCCTCCTCCTCCTCCTCTTCCACCATGTACGGTAACTATTATTCTTTTGACTTGTAATTTCATGCACGATGAAAAAGTAAATCACGTTTTTTTCTTTTTCGTTTTTTTTATTTATACTTCCACGTACCAATACGTACGAAGTGTTTTTGCAGGAATGACCTTGAAATATACCTAGAAAGAAACGAAAGATTGCGTTCGAATGAAATTCAATTATCAATATGCGGATAAAGAACACGAATCCGATGAAAATGAATAGAATTAAAAAGAAAATTAGTAAAAATGTCATTTCGAATCGAACGATCTATATAAGACAACACGTTTTAATGACACTCTTTATACTTTCACTAAACTTTTGCATAATTATGTGAGTTATGGTCAAGTGTAAATCAGGAACTAAATATAGATTTCGTAAGAATTCAATCGTAATTTTAAACGACACGTAAATTAGTCGAATATTTCTTTTTTATTTCTCACAATTTATTACGAAACTCTCATAGGAATCGAGTTAAAGTTCACGAATAATCATCAATCGATAGAGGATATTTTTATATATATATATATGAATATTCATTAAATTATCTTTTATGTGATAAAATTTTGATCGTGTCGTTTAAAAATAACACACAGGTAAGGGACATTTTTCTTTTTCATAAGGTCGTGTGATCGAGAAAAAAAAAAAACTAAACAACACATCGAGGAAATAAAAGAAAAAAAAAGAATTAGTTCATATTACTCGTTAAATAACAACAAAATAGGAAATTAAATTTGATTAACCAGTTATAAAATGAATATAAAAGAATAATTGGTTCGCGTGTAATTCACAAAATGAGTGAAATTTTATTTCGTTCTTATTAATTAATTGTATATCTCTCTAAAGAATGTATACGTGTGCGTGTATCTGTGTGAACTTATGTGGACCCGACGTGACATCTTAATAATAGAATCCAACTTAAATATACAGGAATTGTCTTTATACGACAACAATATTCTTCTTACAACACAAATCTTTCTCTCTATCTGCTATAAATGTTTCATAATGATTATTCTTCTTATTTTTTTTTTTTTTTTTATTCTTTTTCTTCTCTCGCATATCTTCCGGGATCATGATAATCATATAAATGAACAAGAAGAAGAAGACCTTCTAAAATATCCATAATTAATAAATCTAATGCACGTTGTTTACTAGACACATTACAGGAAATAGAAATGAATTATAAATAATCTATAACGAGAAGTATAATTTATATAATGCTGATCAAACTTATTTAATGTCTTATATTTTAATGTGATAATGAATATTCTTTATTAATAATTGATCTATTTATATCTGTCTGTATTTCTGAGATGAAATGAATATTAACGAATAAAATCTAGAAAATGCAAGCATTATTAGAGATATCATTAAAGATACTTTACATATTCTATCAGTTATAATATGTGTATGTATAATTAACATATATTTTTTCTTTCCCCGATGACTCGACAATATCGTATTTCTTTCTAAGTAAAAATTTGCAAGATCGGCAAAATATGACGTTTAACTGAATTGCATAATGAATTATAATTTAAGAATAATGAATTTTATTTCGGCATGTGACCAAAAAAACAATGATAAAATATTTAAAATTAACGATGAAATGAATTTATTAAAATCTAAAAACAATTGTCAAGATGACTATTAATATATTATCATAGATAAACGAATTAATGATAAATTAATCAACCTATCTATTTCGCAAATCAATTTATAAAATAACAAATTTATTATCATAACAATTTAAACAATTTCAAATGTAAAATATCAATTAACATAAATTGTAAGGTTAAACAATGTAAGCAAGAGTAGCTAATGTCTAAGTAAATACAAACATCTCTAGCGGAAGGATCGTGAAATATTCGCGAAAGAGTGTAGAAAGGTTTGTCTGTTCATTTTTCTTAGAAATCAAAACTATTCTTGAGCTACCTGGCGAAGAACCTGGTAGAACAAGTTTCCCGACAATAACTCGACGATGCACCGAAGATGCTGTGCAAAGAAGAGCACCAGCAACAGCAGAAGAAGAAAAAGAAAGAAACAACGAGAAAAACAATACAACTAACAAAAACTTGATAAATGAAGATAATTAAATACACGAGTAAATCAAATTAACATCAATTAATATTTCTAAGACGTTTAATCAATTGTTTATCCTATTCCATTTGTAATTAAATATTTAATTACCGATAATAATAAATGAACGAATTAAATGAAATCCTTTTATTCGTAATTTTGTTTTTCTCTCTCTCTCTCTCTTTCACTCGTTGTAATTCTTCAAATTCAAATTAATTTATTTAGTATTTTCTCTTATCCAAAATTATAATTTTTAATGATAAAATTTCATAGGGAACTTGGACATGAAAAGAAGTAGAACTTAATTTGATTGAGTTGAGAATTCATGTCCAAGTTCCCTATGAAATTTTATCATTAAAAATTAAAATGAATATTAGAAAAGCTTACAAATATAATATCCAACATAAAATCACATATCCCAATGTAACACGTTTAAATACTGAAAAATGTTTGTATACGATAAAACTTTGTCAATGAGATCAAACAAAAATGAAAATAAATTCAATAAAAGGAAAGAAAATAATGAAATATTCTTAATGAATTAAAAATATACGAATAAATGGGGAAAATGAAATGGTGTTTGCGTTCTCACCTTCTTATGTTAGAAGATCGACGACATGTGAGAAAACTCGATGAACGAAAGTGAACTTGTTCTTCCACTGCTCTTCTTCTTCTTCTTCTTTTTTATCTTTTACTATTCTTCTTCGTACACCTTCACCTCCCTCCCCGTTCACTCCCCCTCTCACTCTCTCACTCTCTCACTCTCTTGGTAATATAGCGCACAAAAATAAAAATAAAAAGAAAAAAAGAAAATTTGCAAGAAAATATTTATCGAAACTATAAATCTATAGAAAAACAATAGATGATATAATTAGATGATTAACGCGTTTAATACGCACTTGGAACTAGTACGACGGTCAGAATACGACTGTTGTCGTCTCTACGGTTTACAACGAGCACGTGGAACTTCCTTCCACGATACCACGACGACCCCAACACTCTTTCGTAAATATTCATTTACGTGCGTTGCTAACCACACACGTAAACAGAATGAGAAAGAGAGAGAGAGAGAAAGATAAATATCTGCTTAGTTATTTTTGTTATATTCTATTGATGAATAGGATAGAATAACCTTTGTTTTCTCACATTATTATATCCAAAATAAAAGACAATTTATGAAAGATAATAGGAATGAAGATGCAATGATTTATTTCTCGAAAAAAAAAAACAAATGTATCACAAAAGAGACACGATTGAAGAATTGTTAATTTGATTGCAACACGTCAAAGGAATAATCGAAGAGATTAAACGTGCGAGAATGTTTATCTTTAGAATTTAAAATCAAAATTCTGATATATTATAAATGTTGCATCGATCGATTGTATTCATCTGTAAACTCTCTCTCTCTCTCTTTTTATCTTTTATTTTGTTTATATTGAATTATTATTTCTTTACTAATACGAATTTTTCGTACGTTGAATAATAATGTTGAATAATTCGATTTATCAAAGTTCGATATATATTATACAATGGATTCTTTCGAGCTTATTCGAATTATCATACGAATTCTGAAATAAGATACGCGTCCTTAATTTGTATCTTATCTTGATGGGTATTTCCTTTCGTTTGTTATGAAATTATATATATATATATATATATATATCACCGAACACTATTAATAATTATTTAGTAAATCGTATAGCTTGATAATTTATTATATGCATAGTGTGCGTTAAACTATCGTATAACGAATCAATTTGTTTACCAAATAAACTCGAATACAATTTTCAAGGTTCATCGAAGTCTCGATTGGTCAACCGATGCAAACTTACTTTTTAAATATTCGTTCGATCAAGGTAATATAAATGAACGTTGATTTTTCAAAAATAAAATATAAACAAAAGAAAGAAAGAAAGAAAAAGTAAGAGATTGTTAATTTCTTGCAATAATAATAATAATAATAATAACAATAAAGTATTTGAAATATTTTCCAATCGATTATTTCGTTAACATACAATTACGAAAGTATCAATCGACGAGAGTATAACAATAAGTCAAAGTGAAATGCATAATAACCGGAGCATTCGACGCACGCAAAGTTTCCAAACGATGCGCGACTCTATTCGTGACACCAAATCCGTCCTACCTTTGTCATATTTAACCACAAGAGAAAGTTCATTGCACAATAGTAACAACTATATATATTAAGCTTAGATTAGAAAGAAAGAATTAGAGAGGGAGAGAGAGAGAGAGAGAGAGAGAGAGAGATATATATATATATATATGAAAAATTGAAAATAATAAAAACGACAAATATATCGATCGCAAATTTATTCGACACAATTATWCAAGACTAAAGTTTCAAAAGTTTGCATATTTAACACATCATTGCACAATAGTAACAAATATATATATATATTAAGCTTAGATTAGAAAGAAAGAATTAGAGAGAGAGAGAGAGATATGAAAAATTGAAAATAATATAAACGACAAATATATCGATCGCAAATTTATTCGACACAATTATACAAGACTAAAGTATCAAAAGTTTGCATATTTAACACATTGTTTGATCAATTGTATAATATACGGAAACTTGATACGTTTCATAATGACCGTATAAATTATTGAAATAAATATATGACATTTTTTCAATAAATTATAAATTTATAAACGTATAATATCACAAGGAACCAACGTGTTTTAATTTTTTCTTACAAAATCAATTTTTACGCACACGCATAATGATATATTTCAATAATTTAATATATAATATATAATATTTCAATAATTTAATAATAACATTTTTATTATAAATAGGAAATATATCACGGTAATCGTAAAAATCAATAAACGCGTATTCACGTGTATCCTGAATCATTCAAAAAAAATAATAAGATCTGATTTAACCAAAAATTTGAGATAATTATAAGTGAAATAATGATAAGACATTGTAAAAAACTTTGTAAGTTGTGCAATAAAAACCTTATTATATATATAATAAGATCTGATTTCGATAAAAAGAAAAATGTCGTTTCTATATTTTATTTGTACTTTTTCAGTTCCTTTTTTTTTTTTTGTTTTTCCCTTGTCGTCACGATAATTTCCATAAATCAAAGATTCTATTAACTACAAAACTGATTTACCTATTTTTCAATTGGGTGCTTTTTATTTCAACGTTATATTCTCCGAACCGTATTTGTACTTTTATTCCTTTTCTTTTCGTAAACACGAACTTCTCCCCTTCTCTCTCTCTCTCTCTCTCTCTCTCTCTCTCTCTTTCTTTCCCCTCTTCCTTTCTTTTTGTTTCTCTTGGCATACCGCAAAATCCTTTCCCCTTCGTTTTATCGCGATCAGTAGAATAATTATTTTGCTATGCTCGTATATTTTCTGTCCTTATCTCCGCGGGATGCTCGTTATCGCAAACACTGCTTCCTAGCAACAATATTGCAACTTCGTTGCAGTTAATAAAAAGCTTTTTTGTACGACAAATACAGATATAATAAAGGATTTAATAAAAAAACGAAAAGAATTATTTATATTGTATTTATATATTTTTATATTATT